TGATGTTTACTGATAGAAGTCGAATCCGCTCTGCTACAATTCATGGAACTTCTAGTTTAACAAAGGTAAAGCCACTGATTGAGCCAAGCACACTATGTTGTAGACAGGAGATATGCTGCTAATACTTCCGATTTCCTTCAAAGAAAACGGCACGACAACCTTATGTAAGTAGGAAGAATCCACTCAATTTTTCTAACAGTTCATCAGATAAAAGCGGACTGAGAACTGTCCTTTGCAGAAGATTAGAAACATCAGCAACAACTAGGATGGTGCATTCGTAGCGTCGGCAAGACTTAACATCTGTCTTGCAAACTTTGCATCTCACTGGCTTACATTCACGATAGATGAAAGTGAGCCCATTGATAGAACCAATCCCACAAAATTTTGCAGTTTACATTTGACAACAACGAAACTGTTGGCACAAAATGAAGACATAGAAATAATTTAGATTCGATTTATCTATGAAAGCAACTTTGAAGAAACGTTAATTGCAACCATAAGTTTCACTCCTTTACTTCTGCTGCGCTTAATGAAGTGTTCGTTTTGGCATCTGTTTCTTCATCTATATAGAGATGCTTGAAGATACAGTGATACAGTGGAATTTGATTTTGAATTTCTTAATATTAACATAACTTGAAAAGCAATTATTTACTTTTAGTGTTTGCTCATTGAAGAAGACATGTCATGTGGATATATGATGTATAAAAGTGTAGATATTGTGCTTCTTCATCCTGTTAAGGATTCATAGCGTTGATTTTGTCTCTCGAATTTTTGCCGTTCAGCTGACCTTAGCTCTATTTGCAAACAGTATTTAGTAGAATAGAGGTCAATTATTCTCATCTATGCTTTTTCAAGGTGTATGAGGTTGCTATCCTTTGTATCCAAAATTAGGGAGTAATTTGTACAGGCTGATCTGAATCATAAACGCACACGAAGTAGATTTTAACTCGAATGTTTTGTAGATTTACTATCCTATACATGGCAGTTTTCGATTCATTTTGAAAGTGCAAAAAACTCGGAAGTATTGAAAAAATGCGCCGTAGAAAGCCAAAACATTACCCTTTTCCGCTTTTAGTTTCTTTGTAAAATTGATCTACAATTGCAAAGTTTAGAAGAAAGAGACGCATTTCACATTCCGAATGCAAAAA